TGGGTTTGCTCCCTCTACTGCTGACCCGTCGTTGTTTCTGCGCACCGACACTTCTTTGCCGCCGTTCTACGTCCTCGTGTACGTCGACGACTTGGTCTTTGCCACAGCTGACACTGCTGGACTAGCCTACGTGAAGTCCGAGCTGCAGAAGAGACACACGTGCACAGACCTCGGTGAACTGCGCAGCTACCTTGGCTTGCAGATCACGCGGGACAGAGCACGCCGCACCATTACCTTGACTCAGTCACACATGGTGCAGCAGGTCCTTCAGCGCTTCGGCTTCACGTACTCCTCGCCTCAGGCCACTCCTCTGTCTACTCGCCACTCGCTCTCAGCTCTGCCTTCGGATGAGTCCGTAGAGTCGAGTGGCCCGTACCCAGAGCTTGTTGGCTGCCTCATGTACCTGATGACCTGCACACGACCTGACCTTGCATACCCTCTTAGCATTCTTTCACGCTATGTTGCTCCTGGGAGACACCGACCAGAGCACATGGCTGCAGCGAAGAGGGTGTTGCGCTACTTGTGCAGTACGTCGGGCATGGGGCTAGTGCTTGGAGGGCGGAGTCCAGTGGTCCTCACTGGGCACGCGGACGCTTCTTGGGCAGACGACCAGGCTACACAGCGGTCGTCGCAGGGTTACACCTTCAGTCTCGGTTCCGGCTCTGTCTCGTGGCGGGCTACTCGCTCGTCCTCTGTTCTCAGCTCCAGTTGTGAGGCTGAGATCTACGCCGGGGCCATGGCTGCACAGGAGCTTCGCTGGCTCACCTACCTGCTGACTGACCTTGGAGAGCCGCCTCGTTCTCCTCCAGTGTTGTACGTAGACAACAAGGCCATGCTGGCCTTGTGTCGAGAGCAGCGCTTGGAGCACAGAACGAAGCACATTGCTCTCCGTTACTTTCTTGCTCGTGAGCTGCAGCAGCGTGGTCAGTTGCGACTTGCGTACGTGGCCTCTGAGGCCAACACTGCTGATGTGTTCACCAAGGCACTTGCGCCTTGTGACCATCAGCGCTTCTGCACCCAGCTGGGTCTTGTACCTGTCTTGCCTCACTTGCTCTCTTCTTGACCTTGCTTGTACTGTCACATATATAGACCTGCTCTTGCTTGTCTAGCTCTATATATATATGTGTACTCCTGCATGTGAACTGGCCCTGTTGCCCTGTCGTTGTGCTCGGACTGTGTGGTGACTTTGTGATCCACCCTGAGCTTGCTCTGCTTTGCTTGACTGGTCTTGTGACCCCTTGTTCTCCCCCACTTTGCCTATGGGGGTGTGTCAGAACATATATATAGCTTATACTGTTGTGTAGGCTATAGTGGGGTATCCCATAGGGGGTACAACCCAATTAGGGTTTCCCATATGTACTCACTTCATTCATAGTTCATTCATCCTCGTTCTACTATTCTCACAAATTCCACGACATTCTCGCTATGGCGGAGAAGCTCGACTTACGTCGACCAAGAGCGGGGTCCTATGGCAACAACAACAACTGGTGACATCGCTCTCGTGGGACGAACGAGCGTGCCACGATATGCGCCGTCGCCGCGAATGCCGCTGCCGCACCATTTAAAGGGCGCTGCTTTGCGTGCAACAGGCCCTGGCACCGTAAGAGCGAATGCCTTGAAAACGCTAAGGGAAAGGGGGAAGCTGAGCAGCAGATACAGACCATGCAGCATGAAACGCTGGGAGTCAGTAGTAGACGGGCCCTCTACTGACAGGTCACGCCGCTCGCCCGACCCAACCGACCCTCACCGAGTGATTGTGCCGGTTCATGCAATCGACCACACCTGGCCGAATAAGGAGGGTACAACGGTAGACAGCCCCATACTGCTTAGCGGGAAAATACAGTCAGAGTTAGTTAAAATCTTCGTAGACGGGGGGCTAGCCACAGCCTGATCAACACTGCTACAGCACGGAGACAGAAACTGCCACTAGAAAGATGTTTACCTAAGGTCGACGCACGACTGGTCGACGACACGCGACTAGCAATACGGGAACGTGCGGACCGAGTTCGGATCCGATGCGGGGGTAACTTCACCTTTACCCAGGAAATGCTCGCAACGTCCTTCGACGAGACCGACATTTTACTCGGCCGTGATTGGCTGCGACGACACAATCCGCGAATCGACTAGACGACGGGTGAATGCACCGTGCGAGTGAACGGTAACAACATCGCCCTACCTCGATGGAGCTCGCCTGCGTCTTCGTCGGTGCGTGTCAACGCGATCACGATGAAACGCACCGTAGCGGCAGGAGCTGACGTATATGCGGTTGATATTCGAGAAGCCGAGGCAGCAGGCAAACCGAGTGATTTACACGCCGACGTACCGGATGACTTGGCAGCGCTACAGAAACAATACAACGGGATCTTTCCATCGCATTAAAGTGACGATGTGCGCGTTTTTTAGATGTATGTTTTTTAGGATGCATATTATAAACTACATTTCTATTTCCATGGCGGGATGATCTACCGGAGGGACTGCCACCTCAGCGACCGCACGACCACATGATATAACCGACAGTACAGCGACAGTTCCGACTGACCCAACCCGAACTGGACGAACTACGGAAGCAACTGGATTACCTGCTCGAGAAAAAATTTATTCGCCCGAGTTCATCACCCTTCACCGCACCGATATTGTTCACACCGAAAAAAGACGGGGGATTTCGCATGTGTATAGATTACCGCGCACTGAACCGAGTTACGATCAAATCCCATTACCCCATCCCGCGAGCCGACGAACTGATCGACCAACTTCGCATAGCCCGGGTTTTCTCAAAAAATTACCTTCGAGGAGGTTACCATCAGGTCCGCGTCAATCCGCCCGACTGCCCGAAAACCGCCTTCCGAACCCGCTACGGATCATTCGAATACACAGTAATGCCCTTCGGACTGACCAACGCCCCCGCGACCTTCCAAATGACCATGAATGAAGCCTTCCGCCCGCTTTTAGATAAGTGCGTAATCGTCTACTTAGACAACATGCTGATCTACAGCCCAGACAGAGCACAGCACCTACAGGACATCGAAGCATATTTTAAAATACTGAGTGAGAACCGCCTACTGACCAAAGCATCCATGTGTGAGTTTCTACAGGACAGGCTGGAGTTTTTGGGGCACGTTATTTCGGCCAACGAAGTGGAAATAGACCAAAACAAAATCGTGACGATTCAAGCATGGCACGCGCCGACCAACTTGACAGAGTTGCAGGGTTTTATGGGGTTCGTCAACTACGTGCGACGGTTCGTCCCCAACATGGCGCAGTTGAGTGCCCCGTTGACCGACCTGCTGAGGAAGGGGTTGTGTACACGGGGGGGGGGGAGAAAGAGCAAGCTGTCTTCTCGGCCCTTCAAAAATGTTTGTGCTCACCGCCTGTGCTTCACATCACAGATCCTCACCGTCCGTTCGAGCTCGTCACCGACGCGAGCTGTATCGCTGTAGGAGCAATACTGTTGCCGGACTTGGGAACGGCCTTCAGCCAATCGCGTACGAGTCCCGCAAACTTCACCCACCAGAACACAACTACCCGATACACGACCGCGAGATGTTGGCGATCGTTCACGCGTTCAAGGTGTGGCGGGGCTACCTGACAAGAGCCGACGTGAGAGTATGGACAGATCATCGTGCATTACAGTACCTTCAAGCTGAACCAAATCTCAACCCACAACAGATCCGCTGGTTGGACTATATGGAGTCCAATTTTCACTACACCGTCACGTACAAAAATGGAGCGTCCAACATCGTTGACGCACTCACCCGCCCCAGTGCCCAACTTCACGCCATCCTACTCGCCCAAACCAATCTGCTTCCACCGCCAGTGGGGCCGTGTCCTACGTGTCAGGTGATGAAGAGCTCGCGAAAAAGAAAGGCGGGTCAATTGCAGCCGATTCCACTGCCCGAGTGCGCCTGGCAGCAGGTTACCATGGATTTCATCACAGGGTTACCTTCGAACCCTGGGGGTAACGACGTAGTTATGGTCGTCGTTGAGAGACTGACGAAAATGGCTCACTTCGCTGCGTGCAGGAAATAGATCTCAACCGAAGAAACCGCTCGCCTATTCATCGCGACCGTCGCTCGACTGCACGGGATACCAGCCGCGATAATCAGCGACCGCGACACGAAGTCTACCAGCAACTTCTGGAAGAACCTTTGGGAGCAGTTCGAGACCAGGCTACAGTTCAGCTCGGCGTACCACCCCGAGACCGACGGTCAAATGGAGCAGCGGACGAACCAGCCCATGGAGCAGCTGATTCGTGCCACGTGCGACGACCCGACAAGATGGGAGCAGCAGCTGCCGCTGATCGAGTTCGCCTACAACAACGCCACGCCTGCGACGACGCAGCAGTCCCCGTTTTACGTGAACTACGGGCAAAACCCAACAGTGCATATGACGCCGAGTCCGGACAACCCCACGCCACGCGCACAACAGTTCGCCGAGGTACTGCAAGCTGCCCGAACGCGAGGAGCAGAAGAATTTATAAAAGCAAATGTCATCGCTAAAAGAAACGCTGACCGCCATCGCCGCCCAGTCACGTACCAGTCAGGAGCATCTAAAAAATGTCAGGTCTATTTCCGGGCGTTAACATCCATTCTTAGGTTGTAAACAATGTATCTATGCCCAATAATTGCCCGGCTGTAAATAAGGCAGACTTTAGCCGTATTGGGGTCGATAATTGCCGGACCGTTAATTGCCCGGGATGGCCCTTATTGGCCGTAAATCAGCATGGCGCCAGGGTCAGAGTTCTCCACTTACTGGGGTTGAAATGGCAGTGAACCAGAGTGCCATTCACAGTTGTTTCTAGTTCTGATAAAAATAGCCAAATTGTCCTTGTTTACAGTCACTCAAAAGCCAACATAACTAGGCCTGAACTTCCTGGAAACACCCAATCATGAACTAATGGTAGCACCCTAATAATAGTAATAAACAATAATGTGATGATCAAATTACTGTAGAAAATTTGATCATACATTAGAGCAGCAGTACTACAATTAGAAAATCAGGGTTTATGGCAGCAACCCAGCAAACTCGTCCTCAAACCCTGCGATCACAATACGCACTAACGGGTTTGCTCCCATCTGAAAGCCTGCAGGGGCAGTGTTGCGATAGATATTATCCCCCCGGGATAACCTATCCTTAATCCAATCAATAATCACCCCAACTTTCAGCTGCACTTCCCTCCTGTTGTTGGAGTCACTGCCATCTAGGGCAGGCGTGTCACGGCTCCCCGCATTTTCCATGGGCCATTCAACCTGCAGGGTACATTTGAAAATATATGGGAAAATGGGGAGCAGGGATAGCGAGGGTGTGTTGGAAAAAATCAGGACAGTGAGGGAGAGGCGCATTGCAGAATGGGGAGCAGGGAGAGAGAGGGTGTGCTCGAGCAAAAACTGGATCGTTGGCAAGGGAAACAAACAATGCAAGGGAAACAAACTCACCACATGGCAAATCGTTGCCACCACTGGGATCTTGGCAAACATCGTCTTGCACCTGCGACCGCCAAGTCCCTTGCAGAGCGCCATGTCAAACGCCTTGTTGGCGAACAGGCGCCCCGTGTCAGGATCGCAGTGCCACTTGCTGCCATAAACGGCTGCAAGCACAGAAATCCGCTCGATGTAAGCACAAAACATTTAGATCTCAGGAAACAAGTTTCAAAGTGCTCGCGGCATGCAACATTAAAAACGGATGGGTACTTACCATCGAAATAGAAAAGGTGCCACTGCTGGACGTTGCGGCGCTGCACCGGCGCCATGTTCTCAGCAGCCAGCATGGAAATCTTCGATTCCCTGACGAACCCGCCTGGCCCATGTGCCCACGTCTTGACCTGCGTGAAGAGGTTGCCCCGACGCTCGCCGACCTTGTCTTTAAGAATCCTCTCCCGTTCCGGGTGAAAGTTCATGACAAGGTTGAACGTTACCTCGGAAACGTTCACCAGCTGATACGTACGGATGAGTTGCTGCCTCAACTCCTGCGGCTCAGGCCAGAAGTTAATCTCCCTCGGGGGAGCCTCAGCAATGAAGTAGAGAACCGCTTGGTTGCACTTTGCCTGCCATGCATTACAAGAAGGAAATGCAGAGTGCAAGAGATATTGGTTGAAGCCAAGCATGTAGGGATCCATGCCTCTACCAAGCATGTATGAGAAATTGGTTGAATCCAATGTTGAAAGCGCGGGTTGCATAGGATTAGAGTGGGAATACGGGCTTGCGAAGTACAGGATCAAGGTACAGAAGGTTGCGAGGGTGGGTGGGTGGGAATACGAGGTTGCGAGCGGAACATTGAAGGTATAAACGTAAGCTAGGCGGCGGGTATTCAGAATCAATGCGCACGGCTTACCGTGAAAAAGGTGAGCTCGGTTAGCGACTCCGGAAGCTTGGTCGAAGGTTCACAAGCATCTGGTCGAGGTGCTGGGGGTCCCGGATGAGCGAGGGGGGCGCCAAGTGAGCGAAAGGCGATTGGCGCGAGCAGCGCAGGAATCGCGGAGGTTGCCAACGATCGTCCGACCGCCCCAGGAGCGACCGCAGGCGCCAGAGTTGAACGGTGATCGTTGAGGCCTCGCGAAGTGCTTGCAACGTTGACGGGCAGCGCGGAAGACGTCGAGGCCAGCCTGCTCGCCTAGAGCAATTGATTCGCCCGCTGACTCTCCTCCAGTTGCCGCCGAACGTCCGCCAATGTCTCCTGCTGCAACTCGACCGTGCGCTGCTGATCAGAAGCTGCAGCCTGGGCTCTGTCAACAGCCTGAACAACTTCTGCAAAACACCATGCATATCACATCACAATCATATGGGCACCGTACACCACAAACACGTAACACGTTAAAATATGCCAGGCGTCCATCTCTGCAATAGTAAAAGAATGGCGGGTCGCCGATAAAAATATCCTTATACATCCTCACCTTCCCGTTTCTTCTGGCGTTTGCGATTCTGCTTCGACGTAGTGTTAGGAGCACCGCCAAGCATAGCAGCAACGAAACCCTTTTTGCGCCTAGGGAAGGGACGGTCGTCGTCACCGCTGTCGTCGTCGGCCTCGCTTTCGCCACTGACGTTTTCGTCCGCATCGTCCGCTGCTTCTAGCGCCGGCGAAAGTGTGACAGGAAAATTACCGTCGGCAGATCCAGCGTCCAGTATTGGGTCTGCCTCGGGCTCTAATGGCAAATCGCGACCTACGTTAGCCTTGTCAGCACCGAGCTCGTCCGACGACAGCTGGTCATCGACGAGATCTGGTGCGACCAAGTTAGCAGAATCAGAAGTGGAGGAGCTCTTGCGGGTGAACTCAGCACTGACTTGAGAGAGCAAAATTTGAAGCTGCTCAGGCGAAATCCCTTGCAGATTTAGGGACGAGTTGTCAGGCTGGTTACCGGCTGAACCTTCATTCGCAGCTGTAACAGAATGCCTTCGCCCAGGTAAGGTAACACCAAGTGCGCCATTATTGTACCTTGCAGGCACCACAACGGGTCTTTGAGGGCGGCCTGGAGGAGGATCATTTCCAGGAAGGGTATTGGGCGTTGGTTCACCATCTCGGCAGAAACAAAAACTGGGGTTTGAGCTGAAGTGTCGCACAAACCATATTTCTACGATCGTTTGCAGCTGAGAAAAATTGGTGGGGAGCTCCTGATTGGTCGTCGAAAGTGGTTGGAAGTCGCTGGGGCGATCGTTTGAGCTCTGTACCAAGCGACATCGTTGCTGTTGCAGCGCGACATGAGCAATACCGCACACCCTCACTGTGGGCTCGCGACGAATCGCAATGCCGCACTGCAGTCAGTTTCCGTGGAGGTGACCACGGTACATCCTCCACGTGGACCTAGACGAAGGTATTCCATCAAACGTGGCGACTCCAACTCAAAAGCAGGGGAAACACAGTGACTGTATTAGCAGGAAACATGAGTTATAGGGAACGATTTCAAGCGCACGACACTCCCTTCTCTCACAAAGTAGGTACACGATTGTAGTGCCTGCTTTTTAGAATCTGTACAACAATCAGTACTCAATATATACAAATATACAACAAAAAGCCATAAAAACAGAAAATGGATGAGGAACCATGTCTGGCCTGCAGACTCAAGCTGCACAAATTGAACAGCTCTAAGAATGTAAGCTGTTTCTACAACCATGTACATTTGAGAAACCCCCTCTAAATTGAATTGCCGGCAGCCGGTCAATTCATCTAGCGCGTCATGCTCGATATAATACCTCACGAATGCGAATTCGCATCGATCTAGACCATGGCCGACATGGAATAGTAGCAGAACCTTGCCGTACCACTCCGATCCTGTGGATTAGATAGCAACATCACTGCTGCGTAGTTGTGCTAACGAGGTCAAATCAGTTCCTATGGGTAGGGAGTAGGATGTAGTAGGGAACTGTGTGAAGAAATAGTGGTAAAAAGGGCATCTAGACGTTGGCGCAGTGACATGCTGCGCACAGGCCTATCCTTGCGCAGTTTCAGGCCAGCAAACGCACAAACATGCGTCACGTGCTGCGTAGTTGTGCTAACGAGGTCAAATCTGTTCATATGGCTAGGGAATAGGATGTAGTACGGAACTGTGTAAAAAAATAGTGGTAAAAAGGGCATCCAGACGTTGGCGCAGTGACATGTTGCGCACAGGCCTATCCTTGCGCAGTTTCAGGCCAGCAAACGCACAAACATGCGTCACGTGCTGCGTAGTTGTGCTAATGAGGTAAAATCTGTTCATATGGCTAGGGAATAGGATGTAGTAGGGAACTGTGTGAAGAAATAGTGGAAAAAGGGCATCCCGACGTTGGCGCAGTGACATGTTGCGCACAGGCCTATCCTTGCGCAGATTCAGGCCACCAAACGCACAAACATGCGCCACGTGCTGCGTAGTTGTGCTAACGAGGTCAAATCAGTTCCTATGGATAGGGAATAGGATGTAGTAGGGAACTGTGTGAAGAAATAGTGGTAAAAAAGGCATCCAGACGTTGGCGCAGTGACATGTTGCGCACAGGCCTATCCTTGCGCAGTTTCAGGCCAGCAAACGCACAAACATGCGCCACGTGCTGCGTAGTTGTGCTAACGAGGTCAAATAAGTTCCTATGGATAGTGAATAGGATGTAGCAGGGAACTGTGTGAAGAAATAGTGGTAAAAAGGGCATCCAGACGTTGGCGCAGTGACATGTTGCGCACAGGCCTATCCTTGCGCAGGTTCAGGCCAGCAAACGCACAAACATGCGCCACGTGCTGCGTAGTTGTCCTAACGAGGTCAAATCAGTTCCTATGGCTAGGGAATAGGATGTAGTAGGGAACTGTGTGAAGAAATAGTGGTAAAAAAGGCATCCAGACGTTGGCGCAGTGACATGTTGAGCTATTGGCTGATCCTTGCGCAGTTTCAGGCCAGCAAACGCACAAACATGCGCCACGTGCTGTGTAGTTGTGCTAACGAGGTCAAATCAGTTCCTATGGCTAGGGAATAGGATGTAGTAGGGAGCTGTGTGAAGAAATAGTGGTAAAAAAGGCATCCAGACGTTGGCGCAGTGACATGTTGCGCACAGGCCTATCCTTGCGCAGGTTCAGGCCATCCAAACGCACAAACATGCGCCACGTGCTGCGTAGTTGTGCTAACGAGGTCAAATCAGTTCCTATGGCTAGGGAATAGGATGTAGTAGGGAACTGTGTGAAGAAATAGTGGTAAAAAGGGCATCCAGACGTTGGTGCAGTGACATGTTGCGCACAGGCCTATCCTTGCGCAGTTTCAGGCCTGCAAACGCACAAACATGCGCCACGTGCTGCGTAGTTGTCCTAACGAGGTCAAATCAGTTCCTATGGCTAGGGAATAGGATGTAGTAGGGAAGTGTGTGAAGAAATAGTGGTAAAAAAGGCATCCAGACGTTGGCGCAGTGACATGTTGAGCTATTGGCTGATCCTTGCGCAGTTTCAGGCCAGCAAACGCACAAACATGCGCCACGTGCTGCGTAGTTGTGCTAACGAGGTCAAATCAGTTCCTATGGCTAGGGAATAGGATGTAGTAGGGAACTGTGTGAAGAAATAGTGGTAAAAAGGGCATCGAGACGTTGGTGCAGTGACATGTTGCGCACAGGCCTATCCTTGCGCAGTTTCAGGCCAGCAAACGCACAAACATGCGCCGCGTGCTGCGTAGTTGTGCTAACGAGGTCAAATCAGTTCCTGTGGATAGGGAATAGGATTTAGTAGGGAACTGTGTGAAGAAATAGTGGTAAAAAGGGCATCCAGACGTTGGCGCAGTGACATGTTGCGCACAGGCCTATCCTTGCGCAGTTTCAGGCCTGCAAACGCACAAACATGCGCCACGTGTTGCGTAGTTGTCCTATCGAGGTCAAATAAGTTCCTATGGCTAGGGAATAGGATGTAGTAGGGAACTGTGTGAAGAAATAGTGGTAAAAATGTTAGAAAGTAAGAACGAGAAAATGAATGAAACTAGCAGAAAGTGGGTACAAGTAGGAAACCCTAAGTTTGTTGTACCCCCTAAGGCTAAACCCACTATAGCTTACACAATGTAAACAAATAATGTTTGACACACCCCCATAGGCTAAGTGGGGGAGAACAAGGGGTCACAAGACCAGTCAAAGCAAGACAAAGCACTCAAACTCCTCCTGTCTGTCCTCAAGGACGTCCGTGCAAAGAGCACACTCACCCCCGACTGACGGAGGACAGACAGACTCAGACTCAGCAACAAGGCTAGCGGCGTAGTCTAGACGACAGGCGGCAGCAAAGTCAACAAGCTCAGCGACTAGAGCAGACGCAGCAGAGGACTCAAAGGTAGGGTCAGTGACAACAGTGGCAAGGAGACGCGCGACAGTAGGACTGGCAGCACGAGTAAGGTCTGACGGCGGGTCAGCAACGTCAGGAAGAGAGGACGCATGAGGAGACGGCAGAGGGACGCGCTGTGGAGCAGTGGAAGGACGCAGG